TAACAACCGGCTCTCACACAAGCCAGAATCAAGTAGGAAGAACCAGAGTCCATCCTTACCTTATACTCCTTGCCCTTGCTGCAGCCCCAGGAATTCTTGGAGTTGTTCACGACTTGCCAGGTTCTGCGGGAGTTTAGAGGAGCTGTGGAGATGGACTGCATGGCTCTGCCATGCAAGGTGATTTTTACATGCTTGAAGTGGAACGCAGGGTCTTGCGACACAAGCCTCAAAGCTTTTATCAAGCACAGAACTGCGAACAGAGCCGGGCAGTCAGCAAGTCTGAGCTTGATCAAGGCCCCTCCATGCGAGTTCATTTCAGAACTAACCGAACTGCCAGGTTACCTTTTGTTCAAGCTACAGCTGAAGAAATTCAGTTGTATTTCACTGGATAGGCAGAGAGACAGAGAGAACAGCTGATGTAACCAGTCACAATCCTTCCTTTAAAAAGGGAAATTCATTTCATCACTTGTGCAGCCTCCTTTATGGGGCAGTGATTTGCTTACTAAGCAGCAACCAACTTGTTCTGCAGCAAAGGGATTGTACAAGCTCCAGCACTAGTGCTTTCAAGTCACCATGCTGGCACCAATCCCCCAGCCATGACCCTACTTCCAGTTTCTGCCCCCAGGAGACCCTTACTGCAGAAAAAGCAAGTACAGGGTTGACAACTCGGAAAAACAACCCCTTTTAGAAGGCCCAACCTCTAGTTCAATTTGGCTTCTAAAGAATTTTATGTTAACATAAGCGTGGATTAAGCTGGGTGTAACCAAGTCGCATCAGCTGTAGTGAAGCAGGACGCAAGACCAGCCTTCACATTCACGATCCTTCGGATCTAACGAGTCGCGGCACCAGGGCTGAGCTAGTTTCCACCTCCTTCCCCCCAAAGTTTTCCAATAACGCAGCCCACCCAAGTGTATCTAGATACAGGTACTTTATTTACAAATATTTAGATTAATAGCATTGTTACATTAAATGAGGAGTACAGCAGTCCAAACAAGTCCTTTCTGTCACAGAAACAATAAGACCTACTGTAACTTATTTTGGAAACAAGGGTATTGCACCTCAATAAGTTGTGAGCATTACACAGCTGTTTACCCAAATGTGTTTCCTTCAGCAGCAGGTCATGGTCCCTGGGCAAACCCTTTACGGTGCAACGGTTTCAGCAAGATGCATCAGTCATAAGTCTTTGCTATTATACCAGTCTAAGAACCTTAGGTTGAAGGAAAGAAAAGAAGACTAACCAGACAAGAAACAAGGGACAGTGCACAAGGTACCCAAATCCTATTGTCTGCACATTCCAGTTTTGGCTTTAACATTGACTGTACAATACTCTGGTACCACCGTTCGCTTACGAGTCTGAACATCGTATAGTTTTAGTGTCTAAAGAGGGTGTTAAAGACCACTTGGCATTTTAAAACACTGCAGCTGGATGAGGTGCCCGACACCAGAACACACCTTTTGTGCATCAGATTTAACCACTTCCTTCCCCTTGCGGTTACTGACGTTTCTGAAGTGAAAAAGTCTGCCATTCCACGCAAGACGCAACCCTGCTCGTGCAGCGCTGCGAAGCGCAGCTCTAACCGGAGAGAAGAGAACGCGTACTTCAGCAGTCCCTGCATGCATGGCCGCTACTCTAGGTCTCCCTTTATCCAAGGGTGGTTATAACTTGTGTAGTTTCATGAAGCATTCCTAATGTTTTCAGATAGAGGGAGTCTTATCTTCCCTTCAGGGGGTGGGTGAGAGAAAGACGCGCACAAGAGGAAAACTAAAATAAGACGACACCTTTCCACTGTAGTGTTAAAAAAGTACTCAAGTAGTTTAAAGAAAAAAAAAAAAAAAAAAAAAAAGCCTAGGAGGACACGCACTGTTCCGACAATCCAGCTCAGAATCCGACCACCCAAGAAGTTAAGGTATAAAAGCATAAAAATGTGCAATAGAACCGGCCTTTTTATACAACGCAAGGCGGGTAACGAAGCCCAATAATGCAAAATGCTTACAAAAGAGAAAAGCAGGTTAGCACGCCGCCGATTGCACAAAAACAGGGTTAATAAAACGGCAGAGAGATACCACAGTGCAAAGATGGAGCCGAGACAGATAGTCCACTAGTGTTAATTTTTGCATTGGGATTGGAGGTCCCCCAGCACAATGTCCGCTGTTGACACCAAGGAGTTAAGCCTATGTTAGTGAACTGCAGTAACATCTATGTTTGTACTACTGGGGCAACATGGTCACATAGGTCATACTGTACAAACTGATATTTTCTTATATACTGTTCTAATGCCAGTAATCAATTTTTCTTCATTAAAATCATATACACAGAATGTATTTATCTGTTAGCTCAGTTCCTTCAAATTTTATACATATTTACGTTCTGTTAACAAATGTCGAGGATAAAATGGCAAAAGAGTGATGTAAAGCTATAGAGCACGAGAAGGACCGCACT